CCGGAGGCCCAACCAGCCCACCCTGCCTCAGTGACAGGGGCCCAGATCTCCCTGAGGGCAGTCTCACACCCCAGGGGCAGCCTCCTACCCTCCCTGGTGCGCTATCGACTTTGGCCCCTCTGCTGTGTCCTCCAGTGTACCGGGATTGAGACACTCTGTGTAGACCTGGGTGATTGGGACGCCACCGAGGCAGCGCTGAGCAAGGTGGGCGCCATTGACCTGCTGGTAAATAATGCAGCTGTGGCTGTGCTACAACCCTTCCTGGAGGTGACCAAGGAGGCCTTCGACAGGTAAGATCTGGCACAAAGCTAATCGCAGCTCCAGGGGCCTGAGCATATGGTAGGGAATGGAGGGAGGCTGGACTCTGCTCTAATAAACACAAAGGCTGCTGGAGACAGCCAGCCTGTGGTTCTCTCTGGCTTTCCAGTCCCTGCAGCCTGGGGTGAGAACACAGTGGGGACGTGGCCATGTCACACAATAGCCCTCTCTCTCCCTGGTGTAGCGGCCCTGCAGCGCCATTGCCTTCACCCCAGAGTCCTCAGCCCAGGGAGTATGTCAAGGACATTTTGGGAGTGCCAGGGCACACCTATGTCCCAGCTGTTCTGCAGAACTGAAAGTCAAGGCAACTATCACGGCACTTCTACCCTTTGCCGGGGCAGAGCTTGCTCATCTGGTTGTGAGAAACTAGGTGATGTTCACTCCTCTCTTTGGCAGGCTGGGAGATCAATAATTCTTTCTGGCAGCTCCCAAAGTACTTTCCTCACTTTGGCACACTGGGTATATCTCCACTGGGAAAATGCATTGGGCACAGGGGTCAGTACTGACACAAAGGGAAAAAAAAAACTATTGAGTCACCCAGACTGCCTCTTAGCACTAGGCTAAGGCAGTATAGTCAGAACCAACCCAGAGGGGAGAGTGCTCCCTATTGTTCAACCACACTATTCCCTACAGTCTCTTTTCCTCGGTCTCCCATTCAAACACCAGCCTAGCTCAAACTTGCCTTAAACTGAGTCTCAGCTTAAGATGGCCCTGGTATGGAGAGGAAGGAGGATAGGAGAATTCAAGGAGATCTTACCTGGGTGGGAAATAGAAATTGCTTATTCTTCAGTGCATTCAACAGCAAAAAATTGTTCTTCAGAAGATTCTCTCTGTCATCCCTTTTTCAAACTGGGTGTGAGCTCTCGCAAATGTAGAGGTACATTTCCTCCCTTCTTGGAGGAAACACTTTGGTGGGTAGTACCTTATCCCCAAAGTAAAGAAGAAAAGGTTGTGCAAATGGAGCACCCCAAATGATTAATTGATGGCTAGTAGCCAGAGTATGAAACAGCTGGGCACTTGCTAGTCCAATCACATCATCTGAGGGCTAAGAGGATGAAATTCTGGACTGAGGAAGGAGCAGCATCTCATTGAGGCAAATACAAGAAAATGCTGTTATTAAATGTTTTGTTGGAGGTTTCTTTGGTATTTTGAAGCCTTGTAAAGGTTTGCATGTGGTGGCGCATGCCTGTAACCCCAGCTACGTGGGAGGTTGAGACTGGTGGATCGCTTGAGCTCAGGGGTTCTGGGCTGCAGTGCGCTGTGCCTGGCCAGCGGGTGGCTGAAGGGATGGCTAAAACAACACGAACAATGTGCTGTGATCAGCGTAGGCGCTGACTCCGTGGGTGCTCTGGGGCTGGAACACTCACGGGGGAAAATTAGTGGGTGCTCTGCACCCACTGGCAGCCAAGCTCCCCGCCCCAGCTCACCTCTACCTCCTCCCCTGAGCGCGCCGCGTCCCCGCTCCTCCGCCTACCTCCCAGTGCTTGCCGCCGCCAAATAGCTGTAGCAAGCTCCGAGAAGGAGGGGGGAGGAGCGGGAATGTGGCATGCTCAGGGGAAGAGGTGGGAAAGAGACGGGGCCGGGGATTTGGGGAAGAAGTCGGAATGGGGCAGGGAGGGGGCGGGGACTTTGGGGGAGGGGGGGGAAGGGGGGGGGGGGGGGGCGGCACAGGGGGGGGGCAGGGGCGGGGCCAGGGGCAGAGGCAGGTCGAGCACCCACCAGCACCATTAGAAGTCAGCGCCTGCGGGATCAGTACTCTCTCTGTGACGGCTGATAGATCGATTGGACAAGATAAAGATTTGACTGGGCTAGGAGGGGCCACTGGCCGAGATGCTTCTGTTTAAAATTTAATAAATGTACTAGGTTAGAAGAGGATCCCATAGGAAACAACTCCAGGAAGTCCTGGTTATGCTTTTTTCTCTGCTACATGAGGGGAGGTGCCAACTAAACAGCTTATTTCATCTCCTGTGAATGGTCATTGCTGGGTGTATGGCATGTAGGGGCTCTGTAACGCTAACGGGTTGTGTTTAGATAAGACGACTAGTTCCATGGGGCGAATTTCTCTAGCCAGTTGGACTGGAGTTTACACCCAGTTCCTTTCACAGGCTGATCAGTGTTTGAGGCACTGGCAGCGCCCAGCCTCCTATTTCCACCACCACCCCTCCCCTGGGCTGCTGCTAGGTTGTGATTTTCTTTTTCTCTGACTTGGACAAATTTTTTTTATAGGTCTTTCGATGTGAATCTTCGGGCCGTGTTTCATGTTTCCCAGGTGAGAAGGGACTGTGAATTGGAGTGGGATGGAGCCAGGGACAAGCTGATGAGTTTCAGCTTCCCTGAAGCCATGTGTGCAATGGAAATAAAAGTCTACATTAGGAGCTGTGCTGCATCTCCGCTCCTTGTGGGGATCCACAAGAGACTGACCTCGTTTGCATATGTTGAATAGGCTGTGCTTGGTATAGCTGATCCTGCAGCATCCCCTAGTTCTGACCATGTCTCTTAGCTCAGAGCTGGGAGGCAACTGGGGTTACTGCTCTGGCAAGCTCTTCTAATCCCCCAAGAAGGCACCAACAGCCTGGGTTGGAAGAGTCCCCCCCACTTGTTCTCTTGGGCTGTGTTTCAGATCATTTCCCGGCAGATGATTGCACGGGGGGTGCAAGGAGCGATAGTGAACGTCTCGAGCCAGGCATCTCAGCGGGCGCTACGGGATCATGCTGTCTACTGTGAGTGTCTCAGCTTCAGCACGCTCCATACCTGCCCATTAATCCATTCATGACCTGTGGTAGCTGGAAGCCACAAGCACAGGGACCTGGGTTTGGATGCAGTGAATATGTTGACCTAGTTCAGGCCACAAATATGTGTGACCCAGCCCAGGTGCTGTGCACTCAGCTTCTTCCTTCTGTTGGGTTTTATTGAAGGTTCTACAAAAAGTGCCTTAGATATGCTGACCAAGGTGATGGCTCTGGAGTTGGGACCCCACAAGGTAAGACCCAGTCTATGCAAGAGAGCAGGGAAGGGGCAATCTCTGAGATGGGGTAGGGGTGAGCAAGTGGAGGCAGTTTCTCTCAGGGTAGCTCAGTTACCTAATGTGCTGTTGTTGGTGACAGATCCGGGTGAACAGTGTGAACCCCACTGTGGTTCTGACCGACATGGGGCGAATTAACTGGAGTGAGCCTCAGAAAGCTGCTGCCATGATCAGTCGAATTCCTCTGGGGAAGTTTGCAGGTCAGTGGAGGGGATTTGCTGCTGGGGCTGGCTCCATATTCAGCTCATCTGCACCCTTAGTGCTTCCTTCTAATTGGCTGCTCAGCCATGTGTATCTGCCTCTCTTTGGCTCATGCCCTCCAGGCCCAGGAAGAGCAACGAAACAGCTCTGCTGAAAGTTTGTCAGTCCTTGAAGCAGCTGCAGCGTTTCCACTTGGAGCAAGCAAGGTTCTCCCCTCCAAAACCTTCCTAACGTGGGTTTGTTTTAGGGTGGGCGGGGGACATTTTTACCCTCCTCACCAGCAATAGGATTGAGCACTGGAGGGTAACAACACTCGATGCTATGACCCTGTCATCAGCCAACCATCCATCCTGGGAACACAGCAAGGGCTTCTGAATGCCAAAGGACTGACCAAACTGTCTCACTCACTGCACCAGACACAGGGAGGGGGAAATCTCTCCCCTCTCAGTTATGTCTCCTTATTGGCCAAGAGGACACAGCTGCAAGGCGGAATGATGGCAGACTCTTGGAAGTGTGTAGGTTTCTTTTCCTGCTGCTAGTGCAATTTGTGGGGTGACTCAGCTGTTGCCCTCTCTCTGTGTCCTATTCCAGAGGTAGATGATGTGGTGAACAGCATCCTCTTCCTGCTGAGTGACAAGAGCGCTATGACAACAGGTGTCTCGCTGCTGGTTGATGGGGGTTTTCTCGTCTCCTAAGATGATATATCTGCGTTGGTACCGCAAGGAGAGAATCATTCCTTAGTTTTCACGCTACTGTTACTAAGTGATTCTAAACATGATGGAGAGACAGTGAGTGACTCAGATCACAAGCCGTGAGGGGAGGGGTAGATGGATATTAGCAGGGTTGGGACCTGTCAGAAAAGTGTGGCAGGTCATTCCACGGTTGGAAGCGTGGCTGTTCCCTCAGAAAAGCTGTGCTCTCTGCTCTGAACAAAGCCTCCACACTCCTTCATGGAGAATGTTTATTGTACCAAAATAAGAGGTGTTATCTTGTCACTCTACATGATGATTAGAAACAGGACCTGTCTTTGTTCTGACCCTCTCCCCCCAAAACCCTTCAGAAGCTCTCCCTGCTCCAGCCCAACCGATAAAGCCCATCACCATCCTCCCAGCAGGACAGGGAGGGAGTAGCTACCAGACTCCTCACTGCCTCTTTTATGGCTTTTGATAGAAAAGAGAGGCAACAACCTCAGCCCTGCTCTGCAGAGACTGGATGGGGGAGGAGAGGCCCCCTGCTAAACATCCTTCTGCCATGACACAGCGCCCAAGGTAGTGCCCTAAAAGGCACTAAGTGCACAGGACTGTTTCACTCACTGAGCTTGACTAGTGATTAGTACTCAATAAAGCTAATCGTTATTTCTTCAGCCTCTGTCTTCTGTTTATTTTCACCACTCCTGGAGTTAGTGATTTGACTCCCATAAGCCTCTGGCACATCTCCTTAGAGCACCGGTTAGTTAAGTATCACCAGCAATATGCTGGGGTGAGGAGGCCCCGTTACCCTTCCAGCTGGTCTTGTCATTCACAAACTATCACACAATGGTCCCTACCCACCCCCTTAGGGATTCTCCCCACCTGTCTCCCCCTGTGCGTTGCAAGCAGAGGTGTTTCCATCACAGAATGGATGTCTTAGCCTCTTCAACTTGAAGTTAAGGAAAACTGCACCTCACTGTCTCAGGGAGCTACCCCGCCACTCCCCCTGCTCCTCCCCTAGGGGCTGCACAGCATCCACCTAACCTCCCGCCCCCACTGCCCCTTCACATCAACACTGACGTTAAATCAAAGAGACATTTAAAAAACACTGACTTCGTACATGATGAAGGGCCCCACACATCACAGCCCCCTCCAGAAGAACCCAGCGAACACTCAATCTGTTGGAGGAGGATGACAAGGACATGCTGAGTCAGCATCTTGCCAACATCCTCAGAACACAGTGCACTTCTTGCCAGGCTTCTTCACAGGTGGGGGGCACAACACAGCACGGATAGCTTCGTCAAACACGGTCTTCAAGCCCCGCTGTGTCAGGGCTGAGCACTCAAGATACTTCACTGACCCTGTGGGAAGAGAGATCTGTCTCAACCACTCCAAACCTAGCAAGACCTGGCTTAGACTGTAAATTCTTTGGAGCAGGGACTGTCTTTGTTCTGTATTTCTACAGTGCCTAGCACAGTAGTGTCCTGGTCCACAACTAGGGCTCCCAGGTGTTATGATAAAAATTCCCCCTTTGGAAATGACAAGCCAGGCTCAGTGAGGGGCTCCACCTCTCGCCAGATAGGTACCCAAGACTTACCAATCTCCCGTGCCATGGCCAGGCCCTGGGGGTAGGTGATGGGGGCCAATTTCTTATCACGCAGCCTTTCAATGGTGTCCTTGTCATCCCTCAAGTCCAGCTTGGTGCCCACCAGGATGATGGGAGTATTAGGGCAGTGGTGCCGGACCTCCGGGTACCACTAAAACAGAGTAGTTCACTGAGAACTGGCAGAGACAGTAGGGGAAAGAATCTTGCAGCATAATTAACCAATTGCTCATTTATTAGGTATATAGTGTCCCAAGGCACCTGAAATACTAGTAACAGTCAGCACAGAAGACAGTTTTATATGTAGCTCTTAAACCATTTATAAAGAGAAGTCAATACAACTGGGGAAACTGAGGCACACAGGGAAAGCTGTACAGCAAGTCAGTGACACAGCTGGGGATAGTAGACAGGTCTCCTGCCCCATTTGCTGTACCATGTTGCCGCCCTTTGCCCCGTGTTTGTTTCTAGGACACTCTCTGCTTTATCTAAATCTCAGATTTCAGAAGGCAGGGACATAGCCAAAGAAAGAGTGGCTGATGTGGCTCATGCCCCTCCTCCACTCTGCAGGCTGCAGCTGCCTCCTCTCCTCTGGTTTTCATAGGAGGCCTTGAGAAAACTCCATTCTAGAGATTTCGGCTTTGTCTCCGAGGCGCAGGGACTGTTGCTTATGCACATCCAACTATGCTGACCTTGGGCGCCCCACACTCTACGCTTGTGCCAAGCCCCAGTGCTGCCAGTGACGAGATTACATGGTACAGCAGTGGGTTTGTCTGTCCCTTGTGGGGGGAAGGGACCTTGCCATTCCTCCTCCCTCCCCAAAAAGAAGAAAGCAAGTTACCTTGGCTCGGACATTCTCAAATGAGGCCGGACTCACCAGGGAGAAGCAGATCAAGAAGACATCCTGTGAGGGGACAATAGCATTAGCCACTAGGAAAGGATCCACCAGCAATAGCCAAGGTCTGGTGGGGCATCAGTCAGGGACCGTTAGCTCCTCCCCTTGCAGAGCACTTGAGAGGGGTAAGGAAAGCCCTCCATTGAAAGATGAAAAATAAATGACATTTCTGTGGGGGCAGCTCCTCAGCTACCAATCAAAGAGCACCATGCTGTACTCACTCTCTCTCTCCCACGTGCCCCACAGCACATTAGTGGTCTGCAAATGCCCCAAACCAAACTCTAGGCTTTTGCACTTCAAACGGCCCCCAGAAAGCAGCTGGAACCACCTGGATGGTCTGTGGGGGGAAAGAGACACCTGTTCTCCTTATCCTACAGGACCTCAGGGTAGCATCTCCTGTGATGCAAACACAAACTCCCAGCTTCAGAAACTGGGAACCTGTCAAAGAGAAGCAAAGGGCTGTACCCAGAGACCACCCCGCCCACAATGTAGGGAGCAGAACGAGGCCAGCCCAGGCAGTTCACTCACTGTCTGAGGGTAGGAGAGGGGCCGCAGTCGGTCATAGTCCTCTTGCCCTGCTGTATCCCAGAGACCCAGGTTCACTGGCTTCCCATCCACCATGACATTGGCGGAGTAATTATCAAACCTGCCACAGGAAGAATCCATGTCAGTGACGAGGGAACCCATTACGGGAACACAATCTCAGGGTGGGGTAGAAGGGAATCATCCAGTGCTTAATTTGTAATGAAAGAAGTGCTGGGGCTCAAGCAATTTTTTTACATTCATAATTGATTCAGCAAGCCCAGATGGGCCGGGGCTCTGAACCGCCAGGACCAGAGGTGCCGGGGCTCTGAACCGCCAGGCCCAGAGGTGCCCGGGGCTCTGAACCGCCAGGCCCAGAGGTGCCCGGGGCTCTGAACTGCCAAGCCTAAAGGTGCCGGGGCTCAGCCCTGGCACAAAATAAGCACTGGAATCATCACATGATCATAATTCTCCCCACGCACACACACACACACCTCTTAACAACTGTGCAAAGAGAACAGTGCCAATACTCACACAGTGGGGATATACTCTCCAGGGAAGGCATTAGTGGTGTAACTGATCAGCAGGCAGGTCTTCCCCACAGCCCTGCAGAGGGGGAAAGGGCAGAGCATGATGCAGCGGAATGGGAGAGTCCACAGGAGAAAAGGGTAGAAGCAGCAAGTTGGAGCTTTAGTCAGTGAAAAGGCAGAGCTGTGCCACCCAGAATCTCCAGCACTCTAGGGGCCTGGGACCAGGGCCGGCTCTGGCTTTTTGGCCGCCCCAAGCAAAATTAAATAAATAAATAAATAAACGGGGCGGCCAGAACGGCAAAGCAAAAAAAAAAACC